GTCTACTGAACGAGTATGGGGCTCCAAGCTCATCGAGTTTCTCTACAAAATGAATAATTTATATGTTTATATACATACCAGGAACCAGGTGTTACACACTGGTAGGCTCTTGTGCTACCAGATGGCAAGAAATTAAGAATAAGCAAAGTCCAGTGCATGAATGGAAAATGAAGTTTGAGTTTGGTTTTGTCCTAAACCTTATCTTATGATTGTATGTTGGAAATGATAGATTCACATGGATGGGAACATGTACACCCTAAAATCTAGGTGGAACAAGGTTTTGCTCTAATTAATGAGAATAATTATGAAGAAACACTTTCGCTAGTAGATTTTAACGATCTAATAAATATCATTATGGTTAGTAGTTGCGATAATTTCATTCTCAAATTCGCAATATGATTACGACATCCCTTTTCATAGTTCGAATTATGAGAGATGGCAAGGAATTGTTTACACACATATACTATCTAATGAAGGTGTATAAGGTTGACAAGTCTAGTTAAAGACTTGTCGAAGCATCACATATAAGAAATTTGTACTTTAGTAAGAAAGTCAAGAGTATTGATTTCTAGAAGTTCAATTGATTTTTTGGTACATGTCAAAGCTAGTGGGAGCATAATCGTTGTGCTATTAGGAGTATAATTGTGATGATAGTGGGAGCATAATTGTTATGCTAAGTGTTACAAGTTGGCAATTCTATTTGTAAGGAACAAAGTTTGTTAGTTTGCAAGCTGCAAAGTTTGGAAATTGTTTCGCTACAGTAAGGATTAAGGGAGGATCACTCATACTTCGTTTCAAATCTAAAAGTTTAGATTAAAGGATTTGATAGAACTTAGTCATGAACATATATGAATATCATGTTGAAATGGTTCGACATAGGAAATTCAATATATGGAAATATTATAGCAAGAAATATTAGGTCCTTATGTAAGACATAACGAATCGAGTCTCATATGTTTTAGATATAGGATCGATTTTGTATGCTATAATACTCACTTGCTCTAATTTTTCCAAATGCCTTGGGAATTGAAAGGGAAAAAGGACTAGAACTTTGTGTGAATAATGTTGTTAAACAACTGTTAAGAACATTCTGAGGTTATAGCAAAAGATTGGTTTCTTGTAGATAGTTGGAAGTATGGTATTGGTTGAAAGAACCATATTAACATAATTCTGAATAGAGATGATTTTTGGTCAGAACTGATAGTCATATGGTAATATGGAAATGTTTCCATAGTGCGAGTTGATTATTAAAGTCTACATGTGAGTTGGAAACTTTAATGCAAGAAAGGTGTTCAAGGAGTGTACCTTGAATTTGAGACTTCATTACCATGGAATTGTTTTAGTAACAAAGTTCCAATGGAACATTTTGTAATATAATTGGCTAAGTCTATATGACTTTGAAGCCTAGACATTAGAGAAGGTCAATTCATGTAAGGTTGGAGTTCTAACACATTTTAGTAGTGATAAGAATTTGGAATTATGAAATGAGCATCATTGGAATAGTGTCCAGTCGATATGTTCACAAAGGGATGACCATAGAGAGGCATAGTATGCATGTTCATAAATGGCATGACTGATGTTTAATTCAAGTAGTTAGTTGATAACTCGAAATATTATACAATGAATAAAGTCTTAACTAATATGATGATTAAATAATAAGATTTTTAGTTATATTCAATAATTTTGAGACCATATTTAATTATGTTATTATTATGTTTCACTTTGCATGTTTTACTTTCTGAATAATTTGATTATTCAAAGTTCCACAGTCGATCATACTTTTGGAAGTGAGTAGCAAATTAAGACTGTCATGAACTTGATTGTAGATTATGTAAAGAGGTTTATACATAACAATAGTTTTGTTGCAATGTTCATGAGTACTTAGTAATGGGGATTTTAAGTATTGGATAAACCCATGCTTAGAGAATTACTTCATGGATTTATCACGAGTAATTTTGAGACGATAATATATATCTTATATTTTTGAAATGGAGATATATGAGTTGTTGTTTACAGATCAGTTGTGCTTTGATAATACGTAAATGCATCAGTAACCTGATGTTATAAAACGTATTACTGTGTAGGATTTGATAAATAAAAAGTACAAACATATAAGTTGAAGTTTATTTGATCATTTTGCCCTAATGGGAAAAGTGATATCTTTGTCCCCTCGATGATTTGATGTCGACATCAAAAGTGCTTGGCCAAGCCTGGACTAAATTGACGTATTCAATTAGTAGTATGAATTTAATCGTCATAAATCGAGAATCCAGGAAACAGAACTTGGACAATGAGATTGATTATAATCCATGTCTCATGTCTATATGATATCTTGTAGAATAAAGGAATATTTGATTAGGGGTGGCAACTCTTGACCCAACCCGTAACCCGACACGATCCCGACACGAAAATAAGCGGGTTAGGGTTGAGATTTCTGACTCGCCAACCCGTCAACCCATCAACTCGCCAACCCGTTTATTTAATGGGTTGGGTTGGGTTACGTGTTTGGGTTCCCAGGTCAACCCGCCAACCTGCCTAATATATTTAATTATCTATTTATTTTATTTTTTAACAATCTAACATCATATTATACTATTAGTTTCTATTTATCATATCCTTAAATTTTAATTTGGTATTCGTTCGTAATTTCGTATATCATCAGCCATATGTTTGGGCAATGTGGCATTGTGTTGTGGCTACTGTTGGGCTTGTGTCTCATGATCCCATCATCCATCTTTGACCTTGACTCCTTGAGTGTTGACTGTTGAGTCCTTGTGCAGCCAGCCATTAGGTATTTGCGTGCCTTGATAAAAAAAAATCGTTCCTCACCCGCTCCAGTCTCCACATTCACAAACGATCGAACGACGGATAAAGATTAAGGAGTTAAGGACCGATCTTCGATGGAAGCAACATCACAAACTCACGATTTAATCACTCATCAGGCCAATCGTCACCCGCTCCTCATTCGCTCATCGCTGTTCGTACTCACTCTTGTCAGCTTTGACGTTTTCGACCCACCTTCCTTTCTCTTTACGGTAAGTAACAATCTACACTCTACAGTATGTTTGAACAATTTCACTTTTCATGAATGTTTTGATTTTTAGAGTTTTATTTGGATGTTTATGACTTTATGTTTAATGTTTATTTTGGATGTTTATGAATTTATGTTTAATGTTTATGACTTTTAGACTTCATTTTATTTGGATTTTTCAATTTCATCTTAAAATGTGTTGTTTATTAAATGGATTATACGTGTTGGGTTCGACCCACTGACATGTGAACCCGCAAACCCATATATTTATACGGGTTATATGGGTTGGGTTGGGTTGATGTTTCCAACCCATCAACCCGTGACCCGACAACCCGCCAACCCATATAATATATGGGTTGGGTTGAGTTTCTGAATTTCAACCCGCCAACCCGCCAACCCGAACCCAACCCAATTGCCAGGCCTATATTTGATCACTTGTCTTAGGACACGTAACTGACTGGGTCAGAGTTCGACATCAGCTTTTGGTAGCTACAATTTGCTGATCGGTTTTGTAGTTATATTGTCAATTATAGTTATTAGACATATCCAAGTAGGAGACTGTTGGATTAGGTATCTAAGCTAATAACTATAATTGGTATAAACTTGAATTGATAGTAACACAATCCTTTTAGGTTCTCCTCAAACCTAGCAATGGAATATGATATCTTTTAGAGAGAGAGAGAGAGAGAGAATGGTTTATTAATTTATTATATGGTTAATAAATTAATTAGAAATCAAAATAAATAATTTGTTAATATATTATAATATATTAATGGGAAACAGTATTATTTGATTAATAATTAATCAAAAATTAATTGGAAATAATTTTGGGATTAATTGGATTAATCAAAAGTAGGAGGACTAAAGGTGACAATATTCAATAGTTGAACATTGAGCAATTCTAGAACCTCCCTAGGCGAGGGGATGAATTCTAGAAGGCTTTCTAGGGTTTCCTTGGGCATTAAGGGTGTCTTGGATGCCTTAGGGAGAAAGTTATGGGATTAGGGTTATCTTGGAGATACCTGCCTTATCCAACACCTTCCTAGACTCCTATATAAACCCCTAAGGGGTTGTTTGGTAGAGGGAATTGGACATAAAGAAAAGGAAATGACGGGAATTCCCTTGTTTGTTTAAGAGTGGGAATACAGAAAAGTGATAGAAAATCAATTCCTTTTCCATCTTATAATTTCTCTATTTTTGATAGAGAAAATGGGAGAAAAGAAAGGCCACATACAACCGAGAGTTAAAGAAAAAAAAAGGAGAAATAAATAAACTCCGAAATAAATCAGAGGTTCGAGCCCTGCAACAAACATATGAGTGATTTCCTTCCTTTGATGTGGATATATTCTATGTTGATTTTGGACGTAGACCTAGTTCTTCTTCCATGATCCTTCAAAGTTCTAACCAAACCCTCTTCTCTCTCAATCGATATTGATTTGTACTTGCATTTGATCTCGAATAGAGTTGTGACTACCATGGCTAAAATTGAGAACCATATACCTAAACTAACTATCTGGAAATAAGACACACTCATCTCAGATATTGTAGATTTTTGTGCAAAAGGGATTATAATATGATCGTAGAGTGGTGTGATGATCTTGACATCTTCCACCTGTTGAACAGAGAAAACAAGTAATCCGTCCTCATTTTGTTTTTCATCAAATACCCCCATATGGAACAGCCCTACCAGATTAGTGTCCTAGAAGACTTTTTGATATCCCTAAACACATTTAAAAAGTTTTCTATTACACAATGCTCCCGAGTTGTAGCAAATAAAGAAAACAATAGAAAAATAAAGAAAACAATAGAAAAGAAAGTAAAGAGAAAAAAGAAAAGAAACAAAGAAAAATAAATTTATCTTTTGTACTTTCGAGTTGGAGAAAAAAAAAATAATCATTTTATTCTTTTTTTCAAATCCTTACAAATTGAAAGGAAAGTTAGGATAAAAAATAATAATTCCATTTCGTTCCTTTAATCAAACCGAAACAGTACTTTACTTTCACCCATTTCCTTTATCTACGTAAAAAAATCTGTCAACCTCAAAAACACCCGCTAAAACTCAAGAACACAGCGGAAGGGAAATCAAAACGACCATTCTCAATCAAGTCACGATGGTAACCGCCGGCGAAGGATCGAGTCTTTCAGGACGTTCTTCCTCTTCGAAGCATTTAGAAATCAAGAAGTGGAATGCCGTCGCTGTCTGGGATTGGGATGAGTACGAAACCCTAACATCGATTTTTCGTGGTATTTTGTTAGTTGATATGCCATTTCGTGCAGGTGGTGCGCTTAAGAAATGCGTGATCTGCCTCAATCGCCTCACGGATCCGTGTGAGCGTTTTTTCTTCGCTATTAATAACTAATTAAACAATTTGTTTTGGTCTTGTAGTCTGATATGTTTTGATTAACATAGGTAACGCTTGCCAATTTGATATTGTTTCCAACGTCAAATGTACCGTGGCTTGTGGTATGCTTCGTCTAACTCTAGAAATCATAGTATATTGCTGCATATGGACTAGTGTTTCATCGTTCTTCTGTAACATTAATGCTATATTCATCGTTATTAGCAATTAATTGAACAATTTTGGTTTGGTCTTGTAGTCTGATTATCTTTTGATTGATTTAGGTAAAGAATGTCAAGCTAAGCATGTTAGCACCATCAGCAAGAAGTGTACTGTGTCTGTGGGTATGTTTTCTCCCCTAAACTTTAACTCTAGAAATCATAGTATATTGCTGCATGTGGACTAGTGTTTCATGGTTCTTCTGTAACATTAAAGCTATGTTTGATTTCTAAATTACATGCCTAGGGAAGAAATAAGTTCTGGTTTGTTGATAGAGCCAAAGTTGGTATGGAAATTCATCATCAGGTCTGAATTTTGCACCAAACATGGATCACCCTTCACCTCCTTTTGTGTCATTTATAATGTTTCTTTTTCTTGATATTGGTTTCATATAGTTTATTTGATGAATGTATTTTTGATTGATCTTCCCCATGATTCTAAAGAAACTACTATGTGTGGATATGTTAACTATATGTGACCCTGCCTCATACAAAATAGTTTCTTCTTCAAATGCTTTATATTTCAGTATAATGTAGTTGTAACATAGTTGGTAATGTCATCAAAATCCATCATAGAAACAGCAGTAGTTTACATCGGTTGTTGAAATCAAGAGAAGAGATGGACAATTTAATCAAGAAATGCAGTCTTGTCAACAATATATATATATATATATATATATATATATATATATATATATATATATATATAAATATAAACCTTGGACTTGGATTGACTGACAGGTATGTGTAGGCATGCTTATCACTCTCACTGCATTAGCACCTGGTTCGAGACTTATAGCAAAATGTGCCCTCTTGGTATAAATATAATACATTAATACCATTAAATTTCACCCACCCCTTATATTATTTACTGGGGGTTAAAACAGTCTTCTTGTGGTTTTGCAGACAGACGTGTGTGGGAGCTCAAGGAACATGGTCGTTAGAGGTAAATGTAGAAGTTACTGGAAGGGACACATTAGGCTGTTGTTTGTTGCCCTTTTTTGTAGCAACATTTGATCTTAGGATTTTAGTACAACAAACATGTGTTCTCAGTATTTAGTTAATTGTCAAGAAGTATTGTTTGCTTTTTTTTTGTTGCTCTGTTCTGGCTTATTTTAATGGACTTACTTTTTCATCGACCATATCTTTTATTGTGATCTTATAGACTCAAGACTACCCTAGTTTGAATTTATCACACAATTTATTCCAAAACTATGATATTTCATTGCAGTCTTTGACTTATAGCAAGTTTATGCTTTACATATTTTGGTTTGCCCGTTTGCCTACTGAATGATCAAAGAACATGGGATAAAATATCCCACAAAAGTTGTTTAAGGTTCTAATCTCACAAAGTTACTAATATTGATTTTTATTCAAATATTTTAATAATAGTTTCTACAGTTGATAATGTGTATCAAATGACTTGTAAACAAGTTGATTTTGGCTGTATATTGTTAATGGTCTTGTAACAAAAGGGAATTCTGCAGAAAATTAACGATAAGCCCATTTTGTTGATAAGCCTCTTTTGTTGATAGCCTATTTTGTTTATAGCCATCAAAAGTTTTGGCTTTGGGCAAATTATGATTGCCCTTTGATCTTGTTTCTGGGCATTTACACAACTAGCCATCAATATTTTTGGCTTTGGTTAATATTACTACATGTTTAATGATTCTAGTGTTTATGTTTGGTTAATTTGATTCCATGGTTTAGTTGTGTTTGCTGATTCCATAGTTAATTTGATTTCTTGTTTAGTTCATTTGATTATATTGTTTGATTCCATTGTTTATTGATTTCAGTCATGATTGCCTTGTTTAGTTATTTTGATTCCATTGTTTATTGATTCCAGTCATGATTGCCTTGTTTAGTTAATTTGATTCCATCGTTTATTGATTTCAGTCATGATTACATTATTAAGTTAAATTCATTCTATTGTTAATTGATTCGATGATTAATTTGATTCCAATTAGGTTTGTTTGATTCCATTGTTTTTTGGTCATGATTCCCTTGATAAGTTGATTTCAGTGGTCATGATTGCCTTATAAGGTTATTTCTCCAGCTCAAACTCCAGTGTTTATGTTTGGCTTATTTGATTCCACTGTTTATTGGCCATGATTCCCTTGATTGGTTGATTCTAGTCATGAATCCCTTGATTAGTTAAGTTGAATCAATGATTGATTTGATTCCGGGCTTGCTTGATTCCATTCTTTGTTGCCCTACAAAGTACAAATAGATTAATTGCTATCTGTTACATACTTTTACTTTCTATTTTATCTAAACCGTACCCTTTCCTTTCCCAATTGTCTCTCTGAAGCAGTTAAGAGATAGTATATTATACTCTTGAGGGGGGGTTAAAAAAAAAGGAGTAATTTTATTTATTTATTTATTTTTTCCTATAAAAAAGTAAATTATCCATCTAATCTCAATCTAATAGTGATTGAATGTCCGATTCCATTTATAATTCAAATCCATACATAAGCTTGTTACTTTATTGATGAGTCACGAAATAGTACAACCTGATCACATAACTACATTCGTACATTCATACTAGCCTAACAATCATTAGTTATAACCAAACAAACACAATCAAAACACATTAAAACTACTTTCCATCCATCTCGTGTCTATCCTACCAATCCTTCAACATAACCAACACAGACACAACCTAAAACACCTGAAACTTTGATTTTCATCTTCTACCTATATTTCCATTATGTTGTTAAATGCCCACTCTTTCCACAATTTCTTTCGGTGGTTGTTGTTTCATGAACTCTCCAAATATTCCAGGGTTCTCCAAATTGATATTGTTGTAAAATTCTAATGAGGTTTCCATACCATTGGTTTGGCAGAGGAAGATCCACTCAACGGAATTACTCGCAGTCTTTGAGTTCATTTTGGTAATTCGGGAAGCCTATGAACTTCTTCCAGGGTTTAAGGGAGTTCATGAAATCCATCTTCCAATTTGTTTCGTTTTTAATTTGGTCCTTTGCGTCCTACATAAGATGAAGATGACATTGATCTTCTGGTGCGATTTTTAGGGCAAGAATAAGGCTTAATAGCCTTTACATACAACCTCAACAAACCTCATTTATTGATTCAACAACCACCTTAGCAAACTCACCGCATAGCATGAGATATTATTTAGATTAGAGTTACCGGGTACAAAAGATTAAATTGAATTTATTTTTTAAGAACTTAATCGTTAATTTTTTTAAAATGTCGGAACTTTTCAACCGATTTTCCTAAAAAAAATAAAAAAAATACAACTAATAAGTAAACAAGTTATGAGTTGAATGAACATAATGTAGCAATAAGTTGTTAGATTTATTATTATTATTATTATTATTAGACAAAATTGCAAAAATGGTCCCCGTGGTTTCTTTTTTTATGTGGTTATGGTCCAAACGTTTGAAAAGTTGCGGATTTGGTCATTTTCAACAAGTTTTATTGTGGTTTTGGTCCCTCATCCGTTAAGTTTAACTGGTTGGCTGTTAACTTTTTTAAAATGACAATTTTACCCTCAGGGACCATTTTCGCAATTTTGTCTTATACCATACCATAAGGACAATTTTTGCATACATTCTTTTTTATTTTATTGAAGTATTATATTTTAATAAATATTATTTTTAATATATAATATTATATACTAACAAACATTGTTTTATTGGATTATTAATTTATTATAGTTGTTTTTTTTTTTTAATTTTTTTGTTAGGGTAATTCTTTTTATTGAGTTATTATATATCAATACATATAATTTTTAATATATAATATTTATATCATAATAATAAATATTATATTATTAGATTATTAATTTTTTTAGTTAATATTTTTAATTCTTTTTATTGGATTATTTCTTTTATTTCTTTTAATTTATTATTTTCTTCCTATACTAAATATTGTTTTATTGGATTATTAATTTATTTTAACTAATTTTTTTTTAGAAAAAAATTGTTGAAGTAATTATTTTTTATTGAATTATTATATATCAACATATATAGTTTTTAATATATAATATTTATATCATAATAAATATTATATTATTTGATTATTATTATCTTTTAGTAATTTTTTGTAATTTCTTTTTTTTTTTTAAATATTTTTTGTTGGATTATCACTTTTAATTTATTATTTTCTTCATATACTAAATATTATTTTATCGGATTATAATAGTAGTTCTTGTTAATTTTATTGGTTCCACCATAAAGTCATGGGATACGCAAAATCGTGGTTTCTCATCATCGAAATCGTTAGGATCGTTGCCAAACACTTTCATTTCATCTAGCTTATAATGAGAAACCATTGGGAAAATACCACCACCATCATCCGGTCACCACCACCACTTATAAATGTTATCGGGGTTTGTTGCGCATTATGTGGGATATGAAAGATTCCAGTGGATTATGAAGAAGTTGTCGCAGGTGGCTACCAACAACGCTAGGTGGAATAAGGTATAATATTTATTGAACCTCCGATGAAGGTGTTTGGAGGTGATCTAGCTAATTTTTGATGATGATAATCAACACTTTTACGTATTTCGGCGATTTTGTGGTGGAACTAATAAAATTAAAAACAATTAATAGTATACATTCAAAATAAAACAATAATCCAATAAGACAGTATTTATTATATTAAAATTATAATAAATAAAAAGTAATATCTCAATAAATTAATAATTCAAAAAAAAAAAATTACAAAAATTAATAATCCAATAATGTATTATTTATTATGATGCAAATATTATATATTAAAAATAATATTTGTTGATATATAATAATCTAATAAAAAAATTGCTCAAACAAAAAGAAATTATAAAAAGAGTCAACTAAAAGAAATTAATAATCAAACAAAATAATGTTTCGTAAAATGTAATAATCTCATAACATAATATTTATTATGATATAAATATTATATATTACAAACTATATGTACTGATATATAATAATTCAATAAAAAAGAATTACTTCGATAAAAAAATTTAAAAAAATAATTAGCTAAAATAAATTAGTAATCCAATAAAACAACATTTTGGTATATGAAGAAAATAATAAATTGAACGTAATAATACAGTAAAAAATAATTAAAAATTACAAAAATTAACTAAAAAATTAATAATCCAATAATTTAATATTTACTATGATATAAATATTATACATTAAAAACTATATGTATTGATATATAATAATTTAATAAAAAAAAATTACTCCAACAATTTTTTTTTAAAAAAAATCAACTAAAATAAATTAATAATCCAATAAAAAAATATTATTAATATATAATGTTATATATTAAAAATAATATCTATTTAATATATAATACTTTGTTAAAATAAAATAGAATATATGCAAAAATGGTCCTTATAGTATAGTAAAAGACAAAACTGTGAAAATGGTCCTTGGGGGTAAAATTGTCATTTTAAGGAACTTAACGGATGAGGGACCAAAACCACAACAAAACTTATTGAAAAGGACCAAATCTGCAACTTTTCAAACGTTTGGACCATAACCACAAAAAATAAAAAACCACATGGACCATTTTTGCAGTTTTGTCATATTATTATTATTATTATTATTATTATTATTATTATTATTATTATTATTATTATTATTATTATTATTATTATTAGAGTAAATTACTGAAATTGTCCCTGTGGTTTGGTCAAAATTGCACGTTTGGTCCCTAACTTTTTTTTTTGCACTCGGATCGTTCCCGTGGTTTGATTTTGTTGCGTTTTTCGTCCCTGTGGTTTGATTTTGTTGCATTTTTCATCCCTTACATACATAAAGTTAGTGACCAAACATGCATTTTTTACCAAACCATAGGGACGAAAACACAACAAAATCAAACCATAAGGACAAAAAACGCAACCAAATCAAACCATAGGAACGATCCGAGTACAAAAAAAAATTAGGGACCAAACGTGCAATTTTAACTAAACCATAGGGACGATTTCAATAATTTACTCTTATTATTATTACTATTATTTTATACACAACATAAATCATTCTCTTTAAAAGTTTAATTTCCATTAATATACTTAACGAATTATTTATATATAAAAAAAGACAGAAATATGTTTCCACTTGATCCATACAAAAAGACAATGAAAGAACTAAAATAATGAGCCCCATATACTTAGTAGGCATACGCTTTAACCACTCAATAAAAGCGTCGCTTGTTTATAGCACTCATTGTCA